ACATATATAAAATACATTAACTTAGGAGACAGGCTAGACTTGTTTTTAAATTGAAGAAGTATATACCAAGGTATAGGTCTGTGTACCACTCCTAATTTAAACATATCTTCCTTAGATATGGTCAAAAATTCAATTTTATCCAGGGCAGTTAGTTCACAAACAGCATAAACTTTCCAAGACAGTCTGCTGAGCAAGCAATCAAATCACTGGAGAAATCTGATTTCCCTGCAGATACCTGACAGGGTTAGCGGAGAAGCCCAGATAAAGTTCTTGTACATTTGGGTTAGCATTAAGCAGCCGGCTCTACAAAGGACGGTGAAGGGGGTCACACAGGCAGGTCAGGACGGCTCTTTTCCATCCTTCTCTTTCTATCTCCCATGTTACCCAGTCTCAGGTCACGTGCAGAGCAAGTTCGGACTCTTCCGCCCAGAAGTGACCCCTGCCGTGGCTTTGCTTACGCTGTTCTCAGCAACTTTGGGTCAAGTGTAGGACACAAAGAAGCTGGAGCCAAAGCACACCCAGACCAGTTTCTTGGGCTCCTGGTTGCCACCTTAGAATAAGGGACCCAGCAAGTAGAGGCCAGAGAGCTAGAAACGAGTAAGCAAGGGTTCAGTCATCAAGAACAGGAGGAACTCAGGGGTAAGAAGACCTTCCAGAGGCCTCGAAGTGTGGGGCTTGAGAGGAGGGAGGCAAGAGACCCTCGGGGGAAATCTGGAGATTGGGACGATGAGGAGTCAAGGAGTGATGAGGAACACTCAGCTCGGCTTACGGGGAGTGCCACAGCAAAGACTGTGGGTCTCCGAGAGGTCGAGTATAGGGATGACAGTCCTCGAGTTTGGGAAAAACTGCGCTGTGATGAATGATGACGGAGGAGGGGAAAAATCCAGGGCCTGAGCGTGAGCGGTCCTTCATCCTCAGCGCGCTGGGGGCCCGATTCTTGGGGTGCCAGCGCCCGGATGGGGAGCACAAGTCTGGGAGTCCCGGGGCGCAGCACGGAAGGAGGCGGGCCAGGGGGTGTGACCGTACAGCCGGAGGCCGGCTCACGGTGCGGCCGGCGCTTCCGCCGCTCCCCGCGAGCCGCGTGGGCGGGTGAGGGGCTTCCTGCCTCCGAAGCCTCCGACTCACCTTCCTCCCTCCCCACTGGCTGGACAACGGACGCTGCTTCCCACAGGCGGCGCGCCCTCTCGCTGTCGAAATGCACCCAATCCGGCTCCGGGCGCTCTAGCTCCTCGGAGCTGTTGTAAGGCCCGGCCTCTCCGCTGCCTGCGGCCTCCACCGTGCCCGGTGCGGGATACTCCATCTTCCTCGCAAGCCCTAACCGTAGGTCGAAAGAGGTTTAGGCTCCTAGGTATCGCGAGATGGGGGCGGGGAGGAGGGGGTGGAACTTGGTCCTGCTAACAAATCTCGCGAGATTTGGGCGCCGCCTTGCGGGACCTGGCGCTTATTTTTCTTTGCTACCTCTGGGACCCTGTAGCGTGTGCTATAGATTCGGAAACCTGTCGCTGATTCCGCAGCAGTGACTTCCCTCCCGGTGGGACTCTTGCAGTTTTGGCTCAGGGCTCTCACTTTGCTCACGGTCAGCCTTTGACGCTTCATTTCGTTCTCAAGGTCCCGTTAAGTGGGAGTGTTTTCGCCGTTTCATTGACAGGGAAACAGACCCAGAGCCTAGAAATGGTTAACTCAAGAGTTCGCTGCTAGTAAGTGGTAGTACAGTTGAGGTTCCGTATCACTGCCAATAATGGGCACTATTTGTTGAGTTCTAAGTGCCAGCTCCCAGCTCTGATTTTCCCCGAGACTCCGGACCTATTATTTACATCTAGTTGCCTATTCCACAGTTCCACTCGAATGGCTAGTAGGCTTCTCCAAAGTAACTGTCAGACCCCATATTTTATCTTCCAACCCCAGAGCTGCTGCTTCCCGTGTCTTTGGGAGCCGCTATCTCTTGCCTAGGTTACAGTCGTAGCATTCTCACTGGTATTCCCCACACGGCAGCCCCAGGGATCCTCTCATGACAAATCAGATCAGGACGCTTCCGTTCTCAAATCCTCCAACATCTTCCGATCTCACACTTAGTAAAAGCCAAAGTCCTTACTTTGACCAACAAGGCCCTGTACGTTCTGAATTCCCTTAATCTCCTTGACCTCATTTCCTCATGTGTTACTCAGTCTCCAACTCCTTAATTCCTGTCCCAGTTACACAGGCCTCCTGGTGTGCATTTCTTCTATATATCTTTACGGCTTAGTGTCCCATTTGCTTCTCTGGCTACTCTATCTAAATTATCTTCTCTGGCTATCCCATCTAAAATTTTACTCCTCCACACACACTCATGTCCTTCTTTCCTGCTTTATTTTGTATATATTTTATTTTGTTTATTGTCTCCCTACTAGAAGACAAGCCCCAGGAAGGCAGGGATTTTTGTCTATTTTCTTTTCTTTTCTGTGGAGTCTCCCTTTGTCGCCCAGGCTGGAGTGCAGTGATGCGATCTCGGCTCACTGCAACCTCCGCCTCCCAGATTCAAGCGATTCTCCTGCCTCAGCCTCCTGAGTAGCTGGAATAACGGGCACATGCCACCACGCCCAGCTAATTTTTGTATTTTTGGTGGAGACGGCATTTCGCTATGTTAGCCAGGCTGGTCTCGAACCCCTCACCTCGTGATCCGCCTGTCTCAGCATCCCAAAGGGCTGGGATTACAGGCGTGAGCCACCGCACCCGGCCTTTTGTCTATTTTCATCGCACCCGAATCTCCAGCACCTTGAAATAGAACCTGGACCCTCCTAGGTACACATACAATATTTGTTTAATGAATTAAGCTTTTAATATTACTAGCTTATTTCAACTTCATTTGTTCAAATATTTATGGAAGATTTACTATGAACTAGGTGATATTTTGAGCATGGAAATATAGTGGTGACCAAGACAGGGAAGCTCTAAGAGAGTATTTTTTATTGTAGTGGAGGGGAGTACAATAATAAAGTTAACAGTAGGCCAGGCACAGTGACTCACGCCTGTGATCCCAGCACTTTGGGAGGCCGAGGTGGTCAGATCACTTGAGGTCGGGAGTTCAAGACCAGCCTGACCAACATGGAGAAACCCCGTCTCTTCTAAAAATATAAAAAATTAGCTGGGCGTGGTGGCGTGTGCCTGTAATCCTAGTTGCTTGGGAGGCTGAGGCAGGAGAATGGCTTGAACATGGGAGGTGGAGGTTTTGGTGAGCCAAGATCCCACCATTGCACTCCAGCCTGGGCAACAAGAGCAAAACTTCGTCTCAAAAAAAAAGAAGTTAGGAACGTTAGTCAGGGTAGTGTCAGGGGAAGCCTCTGAAAAAAATGACATTTGAGCTAAGACCTGATTAATGAGAAGGGATAGTCATGCAAAGAGCTGGGCAAGAGTGTTCCAGGAAGAGAAAACAGCAGGTGCAATGGCCCTGAGGCAGAAGAGAACTTGATATGTTAGAGGAACAGGAAAAAGTACAGCATGGCTGGAGCCCAGTGAACAAGCAAGGAAAGTAGTATCAGAGGAGGCCAAAGAGAAACAGACAATAATTATTCTTGCTTGAGATCACCACAGCTCATCAGTGTAATTTAGTCATTTATACAAGTATTTCCTTATTTAAACTACAAATATTGAGCACCAGCTCTCTGTCAGGTCTCAGGCCCCAGAGCCTCCAATACAGTAGGTGACTGATGATTGGGCAGTGCTTTACAATTTTTTTTTTTGAGACAGTTTCGCTCTGTTGCCCAGGCTGGAGTGCAGTGGCCCAATCTTGGCTCACTGCAACCTCCACCGTCTGGGTTCAAGTGATTCTCCTGCCTCAGCCTCCTGAGTAGCTGGGATTACAGGTGAGTGCCACCACATCCGGATGATTTTTGTATTTTTAGTAGAGACGGGGTTTCATCATATTGGTCAGGCTGGTCTCGAACTCCTGACCTTGTGGATCCATCTGCCTTGGCCTCCCAAAGCGTTGGGATTACAGGCCTGAACCACTGTGCCTGGCCTACAATTTTTTTTTATCTTTTTTTTTTTTTT